CAATGCCTGCTATTGTTAGTCTTTTTAAATTTGACTATTCTGGTGGATGTGTAGTGGTATCTCATTGTGCTCATTTATTTTTTTCAAATATATCTCCATTGATCTCAGAGAGAGAGGAAGGGAGAGGGAGAGAGAGAGTTGAAACTTCAGTGATGAGAGTCATCATTGATGGGCTGCCTCCAGCATGCCCGGACTGGGAATCAAGCCTGTAATCCGGGCATGTGCCCCAACCGGGAATCGAATCACGACCTGCCAGATCCTAGGTTGATGTTCAACCGCTCAGCTGGGCTGTGCTCATTTTTATTGCTAATTTAATACATACTTATCTAATGACTAAAGATATTGTGCCCCTTTTCATGTGCTCATTAATCACATCTATCTTACTTTGTGAAATATGTTCAAATCCTTTGCCCATTTTAAGATCTGATTATTTGTCGTTTTATTAAGTTGAGTTCTTTATATGTCCTAGAGAGCAGTCCTTTGTCAGATATGTTTTACAAATATTTTCTCCTAGTTTATGCTTAACCTGTTTATTTTTTAAATGATATATTTTGTTGAGAATTTTTCTATTTTGATTGATTCTGATTTATCAGTAGTTTTTATTACTTTTTGTGTCATGTCTGAGGGACCTTTGTCTACCCCTAATGTCACATTTAGGATGTATATTTGTTACTTACAAATTGGTGTATCCATTTAAAAAAATTTACTTAGATCTTGAAGCTTTTATCCAAATGTCAGAGCTGCTTACTTATGACCTTATGGTGGCTAACAGAATCTAAATATCTCAACAAAATATGTAAGGTTAGTGGTTTTAGGTTTTTTTTCCCCCCTAACCCCCAAGATATATTCCAATTTTGTTGAATCTTTTATTTCAACTATGGGAAGGGTGGCAGAAATGTATTATTGTCAGGCACAGGAGAAGAGGGTATACATTACTATTGGCAAACCACTAATTTTAACATCCCTCTCTTTTTCTTCCTTCCTTTTCTCTATACTTCTAGCTATTGCCCACCTTCTCCTTCCACTGTTCTCTCTGATTGAAAGTATCACAGCTTCCAGGCTTCCTGAGTCCATCATGTTAGCAAAGGATGGCCATCTGGAATTGTTAGAATAGCTGACATTCTATCTAAATTTAAAGTCCACTGAGGATTTTGACAGTATGAATTTGCATTATCCCCAAGAGAACTATCAGTTTATAAGTGAAGTAGTGATTTTTATTAATATACCTACTTTCACAGGTGTTCAATTTAACCTTTTTTTTTTTTTTTCTATTAGAGTAAAGCAGTGATTGTTGATAAAATACTTGAGCCTAAAAGCTAACTATTCTATTTGGTAGGAGAATAATTTTCCACCCTTTCACTTCGAGTCTGTATTTTTCCTTGCAGCTTACATGTGTTTCTTGAAGGCAGCATATGGTTGGGTTTTGTGTTTTTGTTCCAATCTGTTAATCTGTGCCTTTTTATTGATGAATTCAGTCCATGTACATTTAAGGTGATTATTAATGTACAAGGATTTCCTATAGCCATTTTATCTTTTGTTTTCTGGTAGCTCTGTGCCTCCATTGTTTCTTTTCCTTTGTGATTTTGTCTGTTCTTTTTGTTTCGTGGTATTTTATACTTTTTCTTGTTTCCTCTGCTTTTAACTTAGGTGTCTCACTTTTGATTTTTTTATGTGTGTGTGGTTACCATTAGGTTTATCTAAAACAAAGTTTCATATATTCTGTAGTTCTTTTTCTTTTGAATGCATCTAATCTCCATCCCACTTTGCAAATTCAGACCTTTTCCCCCCTCCCCTTTTATGTTTTTGTTGCCACAAATTATTCCTATTTACACTATGAGTTTGTTCGTGATCTTAGTTGTAGTTTGGTGATCTTTTGCTCTTTGTTTCAAATTCCTTTGAGTGTTTCCGACAATGGAGGTCTTCTGGTGGTAAATTCTGTCAGCTTTTTTTTTTAATCCTCACCTGAGGACATGCTTTTACTGATTTTAAATAGAGAGGATGGGAGAGGAAGAGAGATAGAGAGAGAAACATCGATGTCAGAGTGAAATATCGATTGGTTGTGTTCTGCGTGCACCCTGACTGGGCATGGAACCCATAACCTGAGTATTGCCCCGACTGAGAATCAAACTCATGACCTTTAGGTGTATGGGGCTGTGCTCTAACCAACTGAGCCACATCAGCCAGGGCACATTCCCTCAGCAGTCATATGTCTGGAAAAATCTTTATTTCTCCTTCATGTCTAAAGGATAACTTTGCTGAACATATTATTCTTGGCTGATAATTTCTCTCTTTCAGTAGTTTGAATATTTGTTTCCACTCTTGTAGCTTGTAGATTTCTTATGAGAAGTTGATAAAGAAATGGATTTTCTTTTATATGTTGCTTTCTTCTTTTCCCTGGCTGCCTTGAGAATACTTTCTTTGTCATGAATTTTTGACAGTTGTAATACAATGTGCTTTGGAGAATGCCTTTTTAGATTGAGGTAATTAGGTGTTCTATTTGCTTCTTGGATTCGAGGATCTAGCTCTTTCCTTAGGTTTGGGAAGTTCTTATCCAATATTTGCTTGAATAGGCTCTCTTTTTCCTTTTACCTCTCTTCTTCTACTGGTATGCCTATTATTATTATATTGCTCTTTCTGGTGGACTCAGTTCTTATAGAGCTCTTTCACTTTTTTTTAATGCTCAAGTCTTTCTCATCTTCCCTTTGCATCATTTCTAGATTTCTATCTTTGATATCACTAGTTTTTTCCTCCATCTGATCATCTGTGTTTTCTAAGCTAGCTAGTTCATTCTTGATCCTCTTTATTGAGTTCTTCATCTGTGGAATTTCTGTTGGGTTCTTTTTTAAAGTTTCAGTCTTTTTAGTAATGCACTCTTTTTTTGTTGTTGATTTTATTTATTTGTTCTTTGAACTGTGTTTTCTTGTATGTCATTGTGTTTTTTTCAGAACTGCATTCTTAAAGTCTCTGTCATTTGAATCATATTACCATGTATTTGTTTATTTTTTGGAAATTTTTTGTTTTCTTTCTGAGCTGCCTCATTACTTTCATTATTCATTTGATGGATTCCTTCTCTGTCTAGGTATCTATATGTATTTCTCTGGTAGACTGATAAGAACTAGTCCCTCTATCATTTTCCAGTAGTTGGCGCTGAATCACAAAGATTTTATCTCTCTTTCCCTCCTCTGGCTTTTCAGATCTCTGCCGGGTGGTAGAAAATGGCCTGTATTCCCTGGGAAGGTGGGCATCTTCTCTGTATTTTGGTCGCTTTGGTTTTAGGGGACCAGCCCTGCTGGGGAATGTGGTGGGTGATTGGGTTCCAAATCTATGAAATCCCAGTGCTTTCCCTTGCAGCAAAATAAACCACCAGAAGACAAAGAGGCAACCAACTGAATGTCAGAAGTTATTTGTAAACAACAGCTCTGACAAGGGGTTAATATCTAAAATATGTAAAGAACTCATACATCTCAACACCAACTAAACAAACAGTTCAGTTAAAAAAGGGAGGAGGACCTGAGCAGACACTTCTCCCTAGAAGGCATACAAATGACCAACAAATATATGAAAAGATGCTCAACTTCTCTAGCTATTAGGGAAATGAAAATCAAAACTACAGTGAGATTCCACCTCACACTTGCTTGAATTGCTATTATCAACAAGACAAGTAATAACAAGTCTTGGAGAGATTGTGAAGTAAAAGGGTTAAGGGAGTCAAATATATGGTGATAAAAGATTATTTGACTTTGAGTGGTGGACTCACAATACAATATGAAGATCATGTATCAAAAATGTACACTTGAAACCTATATAATCTTTTTAAAAATCACTCGAATATTAGACATAGACAAGAAAATATAATAAAAGCTGACTATTCTTCACATCCATGTCAACAGTTGATTGAGGAGAAGTATATCAAAAATTTGAGAGGATATCCAGTAGCATTATGGTTGAGTAATTTTGGATATCATATTAAAGATTTTAATTTTGTTTAATTTTTAAAAGAGCTTTTATATATTTTTATTTCGTTAGAGAAAGATAAAGAGAACCAAAAATGAAAATAAAAACAATACCAAGAATCTTACCCACCACAGATCCAGAGTGGATCCTGCTATAGGTGGGACTGAGTGTACTTTGGGGCTCATTATGCAAAGAAGCAGTAAACATGAAGAATTTTGCAAGGTTTGGGAAGCCCAGTATCTAGTGCAGAATTAGAGACTTCTGGTTGCCAAAAATCTCTTACTTAAGGAAGTTAATCAGAAGTCCAGTGTCTATAAGGTTATACTCCTTGTTAGAAGACCTGTGGGTTTCGCTAAAACATTGATATTCACAGGACTGTGGAATGAAGAATAATAGTTCAATTAGTTAGAAGTGGGAGTATTATTCTTGTTATACTTTCCACAAATTTTGATGTGAAACACTGTGTCCTGAGATCTACCTTTATTTTTGGTCCTAAAGGCTAAGAATGGCACAGGGCATACTGCTTGATTTACAGTAGCCAATTATGAATGTGTGTGCGTGCACGCATCTGCTACATATACACACACTTTTTGTCAGAGATGGGTTTGGTGGTGGCGGAGGCAGTAGATATTTAACTGCTTATGGAAAACCTAGCAGTTTCTCCTGCGGCTTTCATGGAGAGCTACCAGGTTTCTTTCCCAGCCATTTTTGTTAACCCAAGAGTTAGATTTGTTCATGTTTATCTGCTGAGGGCCCATATCAGGCTTTTAACAATCACATTAGCAGTGGAGAAATCTCCAAAGAGGCCAAAGAGATTTTTAACTCAGACAGTGAAAAGTTATCTTTGGGATCCAAGAGGCCCACTTCTGTTTTTTTTTAGCCTACTATTTCCTCTAATCGCAACATCCCAATTATGTGTGCTTTTGAGCTTTGAGGTAGCAGTATTGAAAATGGAATGAGTTGAAGGGTCAGTGGTGGTTTGTTGATGAAGATTGGTGACTAGATTTGTATACTTTTTACTTTACTCTTATTTTTTATTGTTACAGAAGAAGCTACTATGGAGGAAACTGGGCCAGTTTTAGCTTTTCAGGATTGTTGTCCTGGATAAAGGAATATCAGGTAAAGTTCTTATCTAATTTTTTAATCTAATTTTTTATATGTGTCACATAATTGAAGAAAACCCTTGGCTTCATCTGTAAGATAGGATTAATACCTCATTTTTATTTACTTAACAAAAATCATGCAGTCACCATTTCAGCTAATGTTTTTCCAATGCCTTCAAAACATAAATGTTACTGTTTAAATATAAATAGATATGTTGGCTGAAGAATAAATTTTATAAACTTGATACCATTTTGCAATTATTCTATATGCCCAAATATAAGGCAAGTTTTCCCCCCACAAAATAGTGTTTCAGAAAAAAACATTTCAGTTCTTATAAAATCTTACTTATATTAGTTGTTCTTTCTGTTAGTATATTTTGAAAACAACAACAACACTATATGGGGAAGATACAGTCATTTGAAATGATGTCAGTTGTTTGTGGTTTTGTATAATTATAGAAGTCACTTGACAGAATCAGTAAACACAAAAATCAAGGAAAAATTTAATATAAATTTAGTATTTTTTCCCCAAGAGTAGGGTCTCACTAATCTAACTGTTCTATATCATTGTAAAGAATTTTTTTAGAGCTTATATAAAGCATAGTAATGGAGGCAGTTGAGTATGTCATGGAGTTTACCAATTTTTTAGAGATGGATTTATTTAAAAAAAAATGTCCCAATTTTATATAAATGATATATGTGGCTTGAAATGCAATTCCTACTGAGAGCATCATATCATGTAATGATGGAATCAGAAATTGCTATATCTCAAAAGAATTTAGGCAGTTCAGAAAGGAGGATGCTATGCTCTAGAAAATTAAATTCAGTTAGTTAGTTAAAGTAATATAGCTAAGACTTATTAAGCAATTACCATGTGCTAAGCACCACACTAAGCATTGTAGTTATACTGATTAATTTTATGGTGCTCATGACTCAAAAAGTGCTTCTAGTGATGACAAAGACATTGATGTTGAAGATTCAATGAAGATTCAGTTTGAATAATATCGTTTCATAGAAATGAGAATGTGGAGAAACAAGCAATATTTGTAAAGTAGCATTTTATGTAATTCAAACTATGTATAAATCAAGGAAGTAAATGTTATAAGTAGACATTAAAATGTTTTATCTATATGCCTTAAATATTCATATATTTATGTTTATCAGAAACCCTTTTTTGAGCCTTATTCTTGGGAGGTATATGTGAGGGTCTCCTGATATTGACGAATATTTAGTACTTCCATACTTCCATGAAAAATTAAATCTAGATTCTCAGAACAACAACAAAATACATCCGTTGTCTGAATGGAAAACTTTTGGTGAGTGAAGGGATTTAAAAAAATAAATTTTGGTAATGGGTTAGGTTTATTAAAATAAAAATAGTTTTGTAGACATTTATTTTAATAGTTCATTTACTTTCGTATCTTGACTCAATCACTGTATCCTTTCCCTTTCACTCTCTGTCACTGGTCCACAGTTCTTTTTGAGGCTGGTAACCCCATGTCTACACATTCAAAGTTCCTGTACTTCACCTCCTCTTTCTACTTATGTTGAAATGTTTAATACTATGTAATAATTACACTTGATTATAAGAGCTGTCTGCCTCTGTTTTTCTTCATTTTAAAATGTTAAGTTCAAGATAATGAGGCTTTTTAAATTAAATTTATTGGGGTGACATTGGTTAATAAGATTACATAGATATCAAGTGTACATTTCTATGATATATGATCTGAATACTGCATTATGTACCCACCACCCAAAGTCAAATAATCTTCCATCACCATATATTTGACCCCCTCCCTTCCCCCCTTTCCCTCTGGTAACTATCATACTGTAAGACAATGAAACTTTTAAAAATAACTATTGCCCTACTTTATCAAATCTGTAAGTTTAAAAATTTTCTGAGGTGAATTTACTTAAAAGAAAGGATATTGTAGTTATATTTCACTACTAGTTCTCTGGATGTATATAATACATCTTTAAACTTTTTTCTCTGAGAGATGGTTATCAACTAGATTGAAAATTTAAAACAGATTAAAAATTGATCCTAGCCCAGCAAGCATGGCTCAGCGGTTGAGTATCGACCTATGATCCAGGAGACTGAGGTTCGATTCCTGGTCAGGGCACATCTCCAGGTTGCGGGCTCGATCCCCAGTAGGGGGTGTGCAGGAGGCAGCTGAAAAATTACTTTCTCTCATTATTGATATTTCTTTCCCTCTCTCTCTCCCTTCCTCTCTCTGAAATCAATGAAGACATATTTTTTTAAAAATTTTGATCCTTGACATTTGGGAAAGATATATATTGACATCTTCAAAAATCCAATATTAAAATATTGTTATAATTTTCTCCATAAAATATAAGTAGGAATTATTGGAAATTTTTAAGGATCACTTTCAATTCTTAGTGATGGTTTACATACTTTATTGTACTTTCTTATTTTTATTGTCTTTCTAAATATAAAATATCAAGGGGTTTATTATTATTGTTGATTCCTAAAGTTAGTTGTGTTGGGCTGAGTATTTTTCAAAAGCTTTTACATATATTCTAAATTTGACATGGCTAGTGATCAACCTTCAGAGATCTAAGGGTAAGTAGAATGAAGTAATTTTGAACCTGCTGTTTTGACAACAAAATGTAAAAACTTTATTATTAGCAAGTAATTAGAACAGATAAGCTTGATTCTCAGCAGATGGAGGTTTAGTTGTCCTAGTTTTTAGCAGTGTCAAAGTAGCCAGATTCAAATGACTGCATCAAAATTTTAAATATCATGATAGAAATCTGTAAACCAGACCTGGCGTTTGATAGGATAGATTTTATACATTGTTTTCCTTTCCTTCCTTTAAAGTTAGCACACTATGCTGCTGGAATCATTTCAGTGACTCTGAAGTGATATCCATCTTTGAGTTTTGATGGGATGAAAGGCATGAATTTATAAAGGTATAAATTTTCTCAGAAGAGTAGATGTTCAGATTGCTCAATTAATTAAAATTTCTCATTTTTATTTTGTTTAGGAAAATAGTGACTTTGTGAATGAAAGCTCAGCATGGCAAGAACAGATCCTTGAAAATGAAGAAGCCATTGCTCTTAGCAAGATGGACAGAACCATTCAACATGTGGAAGTGTTTTGTTATGCCAGGTATGAAAATTATTTATTTAGGATAAACTAAGTTAATGATTTCTTATACTTCTTCAGAAGAAGCCAACAATAAGGATTATATAGCACTAGTTGCTACACATCTAATAGATATGCTGGTTTGCCTTTTTAAAAATGTAACTTTCAGACCTGGAGAACATTATGCTAAGGGAAACAAGCCAGTCAGAGAAGGACAAGTACCCTATGATTTCACTCATATGTGGAACTGAATGAACAAACTGAACTGCCAAACAAAATAGAGACAGGCTCATAGATAGAGAGCAGGCAGGCAGCTCTGGTAAGGGGAGGGTCTTGAGGTGTGTGTGAAGGGATTGAGAGAAAAAAAAGAGAGAAAACTCATGGACATGGACAACAGTGGGGCGATTGTGGCGGGGATAGGAGGGTGGGTGGAGGTGGAAGAGGGCATAGAGGGGATAAATGGTGATGGAAAAAATAAAATGAAATAAAATATAAAAAAAATGTAACTTTCAGTTTTCTCTGTTTAGAGAGTAATAATAATGACAATATCTTACATTAACGACTTATAGTTTACAAAGCTCTTTTAAATTCATTATCTTATTTGTTTCTCACAACTATCCTGTGCTAGGATAAGGCAGACAAAATGCAGTATTAGCTGCATTTTTTTTTCATAGAATCCTCAGTAAAACTAAAATGGATTAATTGATTCCAAAGTTTCCTCTAGGCTTTAATATACTCTTTTTAGATGCTAGTTGAGAGGCTAACAGAGGAGGAATAGACCCTATCAGTAGGTGGAGAGCAGGCTTTGGCCTTTTAGTATAAGGGAAAATGGCTTTCATACTGGAGGATCCCTCAAGGGCATCATTGTATTATAGCAGAGTATAACAATGGATGGTCTTAATTATATTGCATTTTCTTTAGGTAAAAGTTAAATTATGTTCTCTCTCCTTCACTTGCAAGTGTAGGGGGATTTTAAATACATTTTAGAAAGGTGAATATTAAAAATGATTAGAATAAAATTTTTAACATTTTAAGAGATCAGCTTTGGTTTCCCAGAAAATTCCCTCATTTTCTAATTGAGGAAGTAAAGTTATCACTATGTTGTAATCCTTGACATTCTTGTGGACTATATCTCAAAATCTTTGTGAATCTCCTTTTGTAAATAATGAAAAATATAGTACAAGTTTCTGGCTTTTTGTCGTTGTTACAGTTTTTTAACATGCTTTATTGATGCTGTTATATTTTGTGGCTATAAGGCCTGTTGTGTGTGTGTGTGTGTGTGTGTGTGTACTGTATAATTTTAACACATATGTTGGTCTATGTGTCCATCACACAGTCAACTTACAGAACAGAACAGTTCCATCACCACAAAGATCCCTCCTGTTGCCATTTTATAACCACACCTCATCTCCTTCCTACCCTCTCCCCAATCCCTAACTCCTGGCAACCACTAATCTGCTTTCCAGCTCTATAATTTTGTTCTTTTGAGAATGTAAATGGAACTATACAAATGTAACCTTTTGCCTTTGGCATTTTCCACTCATCATACTTACCTGGAAATTCATCCATGTTGTTGCATGCATCAATAATTTGTTCCTTTTTATTGCTGAGTAATATTCCATGGTATGGATGTACCACAGTTTGTTTAATTATTTACCCATTGGAGAACATCTGGACTATTTCCAAATTTGTCTGTTACAAATAAAGCTGCCATGCACATTTGTTTACAGGATTCTGTGTAAACATAATTTTTTATTTCTCTGGGATAAGTGCCCAAGTTTATAATTGCTGGATCATATGGTAACTGCATGTTCAGTATTAAAAGAAACTGCCAAACTGTTTTCCAAAGGATATGTACCATTTTACATTTCCACCAGAAAAATGTATGAGTGATTCATTTTCTTCACATCTTCACCAGCATTTGGTGTTGTCACTTTTTTATTTTAGCCATTTTGATAGGTGTGTAGTGATATCATTGTAGTTTAACCTCCCATTTGAGCCCTGACCAGGGATTTAATCCACAACCTAGGTATGTGCCATGATCAGAATTGAACCTGTGACCTTTTGGTGTATGGGACGACCCTCCAACCAAATCAGCCACCAGGTTGGGGCAATGTTTATTATTTTAACCTAAAGGATATCCAATTGCTTTAGCACCATTCATTGAAAAGTCTGTTTCTCCTCCATTGAATTGCTTTTGCATCTTTGTCAAAAATCAGTTGGCTGTACTTGGATTGGTTTATTTCTGGGTTATCTATTCTGTTCCATTGATATGTACAGGTGTTCCTCAAGTTACAATGGGGTTATATTCTGATAAACTCATCATAAGTTGAAAATATTGTAAGTTGAAAATTCATTTAATACACCTAACCTACTGAACATCATAGCTTAGCCTAACCTAATTTAAATTTTCTCAGAACACAATATCCAAAAATTGCTGGGAACACAGTACACTGCAGAGTATCAGTTGTTTACCCTCATGATCATGTGACTGACTAGGAACTGTGGCTTGACACCACTGCCCAGCATCACGAGGAGTATCATATTGCATATTGCCAGCCTGGGAGAAGATCAAAATTCAAAATATAGTTTCTACTGAATGCATATTGCTTTTGCATCTTCATAGTAAAAAATCATAAGTTGAGCCTCTGTATTCAGGACCATCTGTATGACATTTTCTACATCAATACTACACTGTCTTCATTACTGCAGCCATATATTAGGATGGAGTATCAGGTAGAATGATTCCTTCAAATTTATTCTTCTTTGCAAGATTGTTTTAGCTATTCTAGAATTTTTGTCTTTCCATATAAATGTTTTAACAAGCTTGTCTATGTCTAAAAAATATTGCTGGAATTTTTATAGGAATTGCATTAAAACTATAGATCAGCTTGGGGAGAATTAACATCTTTAGTATTTTGAGTCTTGAGCTCCATCAACAAGGTATGTCTCTTCATTTATGGAGGTCACCTTTGATTTCCTTGTACAGAATTATATAGTTTTTTGTATACCAATTCTGTACATGTATTATTAATTGTATGCCTAAGTATTTAATTTCATTTGGAGCAATTGCATTTGTGAGTGGGTATTGCTTTTTTGATTTTCGATTTCACAAGTTGGTTATTGCTATTTAGAAACACAATTGTTATCCTGAAATCTTGCTGGACTGACTTACTAGCTCTGGGAATTTTTTTGGAGATTCCTTGAGGTTTTTACATAGTCATGTCTTCTGCAAAGAGAAACAGTTTTATGTCTTCCTTTCCATTGGCTTTTTATTTTTAGAGTCTATTTTCTATTGAGGGTCATGTGTTTTCTCTCCATAGTCATATACCACAAGTTAATTGTGTTTTCTACTTATCCTTAATGAGCATTTTATTTTTTTCCCAGAAAGGAAGTTGTTATTACTTCCTGAGGACTTTGTAATTATACACTAATGCTAGGCAATCTTTTAGGGTCTTTCACTTGCTAATTATCTTGTTATTGCACACTACTATCTCATTATGTGCAAATCAAATTCAAAATCTGACCAAATGGCAAATTACTGTAAGTTCTAAACTTTAATGGTCATTCATGACAAGAGTTCAGTGAATTTAGTTGCATCAAGCAAATAGATAGAAGTCAAACTTCAATCCTTGATACACTATATATATATACAAAATTGTTTTAAACATTTAAAATATTTTAATACATTTCCAAAGTATCATGTAAAAATAGCTTTATAACTATATGCATGTTGAAATATTATGACTAGTCTTCTCATTTTAGACCAGATGAGTTATTTATAGAGTTGGTGTTTATTAGGTCAAAATCTATGGTTTTGTTCTCACATATGCCACTTGATATTCCATCAAGAAACAATAAAGTATACATCATTTGGTCATAAACAATATTATAGTCATAACCATTAGCCTTTTAATTTTTAATCTCTTTCTGTCTTCATGAATTTTATTTTTATTTTGCATAAAGTTAGATACAACATTGACTATTTTTACAAATCATTTATAAATAAATATGCATATTTATCTGTCATGGAAAAATACTAAGGACAAGTTTTTGGGAAAAAAAAATGCCTTTAGCATTTAAATAATTAAAGATGGTTCACATGCCTAATAATTTTGTTTTGCTTTAGAAATGGTTTCATTTATTCTAAATGTTATTTAATATACTCACATAACCATTGAACCTCTCACTGTCTCCAAGTCTTTCTAAAATATATTAAGTATTTGATCAAGAATATTCAGAAAATCAATAACAACAAAGTTTAACAGCATTATCCATTCATAGTATAATTTTCATTACTTATTTTTCTATTTGTTATGTTTATTTGGCTTTAACTATTTTTATTTTGTTTATAGAGACATCAATATTATACATATTCATATACTACACAATCCAATCTATAATTTTTACAATATCTTTTCTGATTTTTACAATTTGTATAGAAGAGTAATTCACTACAAAATTATATAAACATTTATTTGTAATCTCTTCCCATTTTAAAAATAATTTTTGTTTATCAATTACAGTTCATATACAATAATATATAAGCTTCAGGTATACAATCCAGTGAGCAGACATGTATATAATTTCCAAGTGATCACCCTGATAAATCTAGTACCTGAAGCTATACATAATTATTACAATAATATTAACTATATTCCCCGAGCTGTACTTTACATTCCTGTGACTATTCTATCACTACTAATTTGTACTTCTTAATTCCTTCAACCTTTTCATCATCACCCCCAACTCCCCTCCTATCTGGCAACCATTAGTCTATTCTCTGGATCTATTAGTCTGTTTCTGTTCTGCTTGTTCATTTATTTTGTTTTTTAGAGTCCACATATCAGTGAAATCATATGGTATTTGTCTTTCTCTGTCTGACTTATTTTACTCAGCATAATATCCTCTAGGTCCATCCATGTTGTTGCAGACAGCAAGATCCCATTCTTTTTTATGACTGAGTCTTATGTTTCATTGTATATATGTACCACTTCTCTATCTCTTCATCTGTTGATGGAGGC